TACATATCTCGATCCATTAACGATGGAATAATATGGTACCTTTCGAATATTCTTGTGGCTAGGATATGTTTGTATAAATATATCATGGTACATACCGTTGTCACTAGTCATGGATATTAACCTCTTAATTAAGTCGACGCATTTTAATTCGAATGTTACATTTTCGAAAAAATACATAGATAAGTAGAATATATTCATATGTCCCAATTCAAGGTATAATTGACATTCGATCATTCGATAGTTGACAATACCTGCATATTTTTTTACACAAAACTTGTAATAAATATTTTTTAGTCAAGTATATATTTATTTTCTTAAAACTGTTGTTATTTTTCAACAATTAAATTATCATCCTCCAAATTTCCCATTTTCTTAGTGAAATTAATGACCATAATGTATGCACAGTCATGGATCTAATTTAAAATTATTTATATTAAGTAAAACGATTTTCATACTTTCTGATAAATTTGTCATAAGCTAATATTATTCTAAGTAGGTGCTTTAGTAATGTTTAAATGAGTACACACAATATTTTGTTTACTTGTTAAAAAAGTATTAATTTAACTATTTAAGGAGAATGAGAGGATGAATATAAAATTCAGCTTCAAGTTTCAACACATAAATTGAGAGGTTATTTGTCACTTGAAACACCTTATTTGAATGTATAATGTTATCACATATAAGACTCTCTTTATGGTTGTTTCAATACTCGTTAGATAATTATATAATTAATGTAATAATATTCATAATTATAAATTAAAAAAATACCTTGTTGGTTTTGTCATTAAAATGACATGAGTACTGTATACAGGCCAAAATCCATGAAGCGTACTATATTATTTACATTTTTAAGAATAATTTAGACACATTAACGTAGAAAGTAAATTGTTCCAAATAAACTGTCAACATCGCTGTGAAATATTTTATGATATTATGAACTGTGAACATCGTAACAAAACGGAATCACTAAAGTATACTTATTCCTACGCGTTTATTTAAAATTAAATTAGCGTTTATGAAAAACTAAACAACATTTTCTCGTTTTATAGTCCTAGTGTTATGCACGCATATATAAAAGACCCTTTAAACACCACAGCTCTCATTCATTTTTGTAGTTATTATACCTACCTAAATGTTTTTTGTACTATATATTTAGTCATTTAGAGTMTCGTGCCACTCGTGGATTCTCGATCTGACGATTTTAAATAATTCCGGTAGGAATATGAAGGAAAAATATTTTGATAAATGTCTGCATTACGTTGTTTTGACGGTGATCTAAGGGAAATAATGATAAATATTTATTCATCATCTTATCTATGTTTATGTTACTTATACATGATAATAAATCGTGTGCTATGGCAAGCTGAACGTGTCTATTCTCGGTTTTAGTTTTTGAATGAAAGGAAAGAAACTATCGAGTAGTTATTTTTATTTTATTTTTTTTTGTAATTTAGACTTATGATTTTKTTCATTGTTATTGTTTTGTCTTCTACAGACGACGGTGAACAACAGTCGGATACTGTCGACCAGCAGCAGAAGACGTCCAACTACGAGCCRCTGGAGAGGCGAATGACGCCTGGTGGATCGATAACTTTCACCTGTAGAATCGGTCTGATCGATCAGGTCCGCCAAAGCATACAATGGTATCACGACGATAAGCTCATTTCRATATTGGTACGCACTATTTTGATAATGTCTCACCAAAGAGACGATTCTTGAATTCATGTGCAATAATAGCGAACATGAAATAATGTAAAATGGTCGAATCGTAAATAACTTTAAAATTATATTTTTGGAGACTATTTGATAATGACCGTTCTTAAAGGTTTTTAAAGAGAAGAAATTGTCTACGAGTGGKTGTACGCATCGTATGAATGTGTGTGTAGTAAGTTATTATAAACATGTGGTGACTCGTGTAAAAGTGATGGCTTGGCGCTCACACATACGTACACAAATGAAAAATGTTACTAATTTTTAATCTATGAGTATCCAATTTTCTTCATTCAAAAGCGAGAGTTTTGAATCYAACGTACCTAAAAAATGTATTATCTATATGATAAATTGAAAAAAATCTGAAAACATTTAAATTTGTTATAAAGTTTACTTCAGATCAATCAACCAAATTGTTATCAATT